GCAGATCTAAATTTAATGCTGCAGTCAACACTTTTCATTTCATTTTCATTTTATTCGCGACTGCCGTAATGGATTTAGTTTAACTGCAGCAGCATTTTTGTCTACGTGTGTTGCCATAGTTTCTACAAGCAGAAACCGATATTAATAAATGATAAACCGCGCGGATATTACGTCATTGATAGGTGACAATGAACCGGGACAAGCCATTATTTAAAATTGGAATTTCTCTGGATTTACAAATCCTTGGGAACTTTTGGAATGACGTAAGTGCACAACTGCATGAAATGTATAACAATGTGCAGGTGGTTTTCGGATGTTTTATTACGAAAATCTTACATATTGTGCCTTTAATACAAGTGAGTTTGTCTTTGTTTTATTATTGTTGTTGTGATTTTCATTAAGAATAATCATGAACAAAAAATTAAGCATTCATTTTTAAGTAAGGGGGAAATCCAGATCTTTCATTTATTTGTGTTAACACAGTATACTGAGCCCCTCATATGGCATGTGGGAGAAAAAAAAAAATCTTCGTTCCCAAATTTGATATTGTAGTTTGTAGTAATTTGTTTCTTCATTTTAATTAAATAAAAATTATGGAAGGAATTAGAAAAACATGACCACAATTTCAATAAAATGAGGGAACAAATTAAGTCGTAGGAACAAATTCAGAATTCGTGGCCACAATAAATATATTTTTGTCCACATCTCATGTGCAGGGCTCTGTACATCACCCATCTTAATTTTGTTAATAAAAGTTATATGTTTAATATAAGTGAGTTTGTCATTGTACTGTTTTACTGTTTTTTTGTTAGTTTTTTTCAATAAGAACAATAAGGAATCCATCATTTTCAAGCATTTATTTTGTTCAAAGAAAGGGAAAGAGGTAAAGATTTTTAAGATAAACGTTAAAGATCAAAGTAAGCGCTGCAGATCCTGAGCATCATTGACAAATATCTTGTAAAATGTGCAGTGTAATTGGTTATATCGTTGTTGTATCGTAAGTTGTCACAAGTTTATTAATCGGTAGGAAAATGTCCTCACTGGTGCCTCCCTATGTATAATTAGTAATAATATAGTTATATTAATTGTATTACAAGAATATTCATTCTTTATTAATAAAATTATTTACAAATAATATGTAGTAATATTAATAAGTTACTGTCACATTGGCTGGTTGCAGTTGCTTTAATAATAATAAATGTGGTTATATTAATTACAAGAATATTCAGTTTTTATAAATAAAAATATTTAAGTTCTAAAACTATTCCTTCATTTACCGTTGGTAATTGTACTGTTTCTGTATGCTAATATGAGTGTATGTGTTGTGTGTGTTTAGGGTCCAGGCCATGTGTAACTGTTTACAAGGCGTTCCTTCAGAGCCTGTGAGCTTCACCACTCTGAGCTGTGAGCCAGACGGGCCCAGCCCGCCACGCAAAGCCAGCGGCACCAAGAGCAGCCTTGTCCTGCAATGGAAGGTGTGTGCACACATTAACACGCTGGCACATCAACAATCCCACATAAATGTTATAGTACATATTTAACTTGACATATTAAGTGCATAACAACAATTTTTTTTTCTAGGCTCCATGTGACAATGGTTCCAAAATCCAAAACTATATTCTTCAGTGGGATGAGGTGCATTATTTTCTGTTATTGCTGTTTGCGTTCATATTTCATCTCTTTGGATTTGAGACTTTAGTCTTTGCAACTTTACAGATCTTCTTTATGCACCAAGAGCTTGTAACACTCCAAAGAGAAAGGAAAAATTGAAATCACATCATATGACCCCTTTAAGCCTATTTTTAGAAACTTCGATTTTTTTTTGCATTGTTTATGAAAATTAAGTACGGTTTTAAACCTGTTCTCATTACTGTAATGTGCGAAAATATGCATTATACAATTTATACCTTAGTACTAAATTGAAATGCTTATTTTGATAAAAGCAAAAACATTGTGCACAGACAGGATTATTTTTATTACTGTATTACAGTGATGGCAATATTGTTAGTAGGGCCGATACTGCGCTCCTGTACTCGTACTCGTGAAAATGCCCCGATACCAAAAGCCGATACCACACACCGTGTGAACAGAGCTGTGTCCAGAAAAAGAAACACTGACAACAGAACAACAGAGAGTAGAATGGAGTTATTAGAGATTAAGGATGTCTATGAAGTACATGTAAGTAATTAATGTTAAACATTCAATATTCACGCCTGAATAGCGGATGTGCGCAAGCTGATAAGTAGAGCGCGCTGAGTGGATTGAGCGCGCGGCTGCACAGATGCGCGAGCTTGTCGAGTGAATATCTCACAGACATCACTGGAAAGTTTGTAGTTCGGTCAGATATGTCAAAAGCAAGCAAGCAAAACAGTACACAAGTTACTAAAGTTATTTGACGGTAAGGAGAGCGCGAGAGGGAGAGAAAGCGAGAGAGATTCAGAGAGCGCGCACTTCTGTGCCGCTTCAAAAGTGAAACTAGCAGACTGTGTGAAATGCGCTAGGCTATAAGTGTCTCTCTCATTCTGCACCAATGCAAACGTGCGCGCGCTGCATGCTGCGTTGCTTTAGAATTATGGTTTTTATTCGTACGCGAGGGTCCGCGTACAGTGTGCGTGACGCAAATTACATCACCAAAATAGTACGCACCTACTCGTATAACGTATAACAAGTGGTTCCCTGCATTATTTTAGGGAAATGTTTTATGATTACAGTATTGAGCTGCTGCAATGGAGCAGCTATAATGTGCCATTAAAATGAACAGTGAAAGTAACAAAAGCTTATACAATACATTTTAACAGGTATAATTAAGTGTGGAAATATTTGTTTGCTAAGTGAAGCCAACTAACATGATTCTTCTTCTTATTATTATTATTTTGTCTCTGTACCCAATGTTTGTAAAAAAGGACAAATACTGTGAAAATACAGGTATCGTATCGGTATCAGCGAGTACCAAAAATGAAAGTATCGGTATCGGACTCGTTCTGAAAAAAGTGGTATCGGTGCATCCCTAATTGTTAGTTACAAAAAATGAAAGTAAATCATCTAGACACATTACTATAATGAGGACTGGAGGAAAATGTGCTATCACAAAAAAATCATAATGTTTTAAAAAATATTCTTTATGCAAAACACAGCTCCTCAGCTGATCTGGGGTCTGTGAGGTGAGGTTTACGCATTCGTGTAATATAATGTGCTAATCCTAGCTGTGATCTGTGAACAGGGGAAGGGGACGGGTGCGTTTGAACAGTGCTACTACGGCCCTCAGAAGCAGTACAGACTCACCAAACTCTCCACAGCTTCCAGATATTATTTTCGGCTGGCAGCCAAAAATGACATGGGGGTGAGGTATGTATCAATGTATCAAAATGTTCCAAAATCCAGCACCGAAAGAAAAAGACTGTAAAATTGTTCAAACTTCCCTTTTTTTCAATTCCTGCTAATGGCAGATATATTGAAAAAATTCCTGACCATGAATTGAAATGAAACATATTTTCGTGTACCGTCGTACCGGGTAAAAATTGCATTGTTGAGAGGAAAAAAAACACAGATAAGTTCCATCGGTGTATAAGTCGCACGACGCATGTTATGATTACATTCAGAAATAATGTGAAATATTGGTGAATAAAATGCTTGCAAACATTACAAACAATATAAACATTATAGTGGTATTCATTGTAAATAACATTTAGGCCAAACCTATAAACAAACGTGAAACTGAAACTGGCATTGGGCTCACGTGCCTCTCTGATTCGGCATGATTCCAAGTGCTTTCATCTTCCCGATGTAGCCTAATGTTTGGTTCCTAAACTATTATGTAGTATGTAAACAAGTCTTGTACTTTACTCATGCCCCAATATCCACGTTAAACAGCATTCTTCACATGCGCACATTTGAAATAACACCACAGTGGTTTGTCAAGTTAGCAATACTAGAACTGACATGTTGTGTGTGTGCATATTTATGTGCGTTTTACCCATGTTTTACATTATATATACTTTGGAATATAATTTGCAGCATGTTTCAGATGATAAAAAAGTGACTTGTGTTCCGTAAAACACAGTATACTGTATATACACAGTATATATTTTGTCCTTACGATCATTTACTTGTGTTTACTTTTTCCATAGTGAGTTCAGTGATGTCGTCCACATCATGACATCATGCAGTGTGCCTGCTCCTCCCTTAAGCCCTGAGCTGATTCAGTCCGGGGTCACATGGCTCTGTGTGCGATGGCACAGGCCTGCCGGCTCGCCCAAAGAGGACGAAATCAGCTACGTGCTGGAGATGGAAGAGGAGGGCTCAGTGAGTGAGAGATGCAGAAATGCAACACACACTCCAATCAGCAGCAAAAAACTGTCAAATAAATTACACATAAGCCCTGCTCATACCTGGAATGAACATCTATCTCTGATTTTAGAGGTAGTCAGAGATATATGTTAGCCACATCAGTTTTGCAGAATAAGCATTAATTTGTCCTGATGCATCCTGGACTGAGCTTGAGAATGCTACATGCTATGTAAAAAATAATTTATGCAAACATTAAGTGGGTAGTAAACCGTGATCTGTCTCATACTTGTGAAGGTAAATGTTAAATCGTGGTGTAAAATGGGCCAAAACGTTTGTTTTCCATAAGTAGGCTAGGTTTTTAATGTGTTTTTGCATGAATATGTCATGTGTTTCACAGGGTTATGGGTTCCAGGCCAGTTATGATGGTGACGAGCTGTCACACACTGTCAGAAACCTCCACAGGAGCACCACATACAGGTTCAGGGTGAGAACACACAAACACACACTGATTGCCTTTTTGTTCTTATGTTGTATGTTTGTGACTCCTTGTTTGTGTGGTTTTTTTTTATTTTATTTTTGTTAGTTAGGTTAGTTTGTTTGTTTGTTTTTATTTATTTGTTTGTTTATTTTTTGTTTCTTTAGCTTGTTTCTTTTTTTGTTTGAACATTCTTTGTCATTTTTTCTTTCATTTATTTTCTTCCTTTTCTTTTAAATCTTTTTCTTTTATTTCAGTCTATTTCTTTTATTTTTTGCTTTTCCGTTTGTTCATTCTGTCAATTTATTATTGCGGTCTAATGTTTTTTTTCTTTATCAGTTTCTTTTGTTTATTCTTTTTCTTTTTCTTTTTCTTCCTTTTATCAGTTCATTTTGTTTTTCTTTTGTTGCTCTTGTTGTTTATTTTTTGTATGTTTCTTGTTTGTTTTGTCTTTCTTTTGTTACTTATTTTATTTGTTAGTTCTCCCTTTATACTTTTTTTTATCTTTTTTTAAATACGCTTTCTTTCTGTCTTTAATTTTTCTTCAGTTCTTTCTTTTTCTATCGTTTTAGTCTTTTAGTTTTAGTCTTTTAGTTTTTGCTTTTCTGTTTGTTTATTCTTTGTCATTCTTTTTATTTAGTCTATTTGTTCTCTTATTCTCAGTTTTTTGTTCTCTTTCTTCCATTATCAGTTTCTTTTGTTTTTCTTTGTTTGTGCTTTTTCTTTAATTTGTTTATTCATTTTGTTAGTTTGTTCTTTTATTTGTTCTTGTTGTCTTTCATTTGTTTGTTAATCCTTTGTTTTTTGTTAGTCCATTCTTTTTTGCTCAGTTTTTTGTTTCCTCTCCTCAACTCTTGACTCTCCTCACCCCATCCCGTTCATGATTGAGACTCAGCTGTTGCCAGCGGCTGTGAGATGAAGCAGGTGGTGTAGTGATGCGATCGGTCACCGTTCTCTGGTGTTGGTTGGTCATAATCACGTTTCAAAAACAAAAGTGTATTAATGCGATCAGAATGGCTGCATGTATCCTGATGAGAGGAGCTGATTACCTTCCGAGAGCTCACATCCCCAATTACTGCCAATTACTATGACAGATGACATCACAACAGCACTGTTTATTTCTGAACCGTGAAACGCTTCCTCATCCTGTGCTTTTATCAGGGGGAAAACTGTTTCTGAGTGAGATAAATTTGGTGGTGAATATAAAGGGTTTTGAAAGGCTCTAGAGATTTGCACTCCCTCTGCACCCAGTGTTTGGGTGAGTCATAATGAAGCCTATTTTTAGGACCATTCAACCAGGCTGCCCCTGCAGACTCGCAGTGAAGGGAAAACCTCACCCGACCAGTTTCCGTCTGACCTGGGGTCAGTTCAGCATGTTATAAACACACAAAGATTGATCTTTGACTCCGTAAAACCAAAAGTAATCTAGAAATCACCTTTTTTATGGTTCAGTCATGAAACCTGGTGAGCTGCCTTTCTAAGCAAAGTTTTAGAAATGTATTCTTTGTGTATACAACAGTTTTTCACAATAAGAAATATCCATCCAAGATGAAGTGAAATTTTGGTTAATTATATTAAAATGTTACAATAGAAATGCAGAATGTACTGCTAGCCAGGGTTATTATCATAAACTAAAACCATAAAAAAAACTTTTTAATTGTTTTAAATGAAATAAAAATTCCCCCTGTTTCATAGACAAGGCTTATACCTAGTCCTAGACTAAAATGTAAATCTGAGTTGTTTCAACTGAAAGAAACTTGCACTGACTGATCTTAAAACATGTCAGTGCCTTTGTTTTGTTTTAAGATGCACACCAGTAATGCTTTTTTTAAGGCATGTTAATAAAAATAACTTAAATGTCCTAATTGAACAATGGCCTAATCCTGGTTTAGGCTAAGCCCTGTCTATGAAACCGGGCCATTAAGTGTGAAAATTAAATAAAAAAATGTAAGCTTATTTAATTTCACCTAGTTGCATTGGCTTTCTCATTTCTGCTTTCTTGAGGTAAAGTTGAGATACTAAAATAACTTAATGTAAAAGTAAAAATTAAAACAAAAATATATAAACCTGCATTAAAAACTAAAATTAATTTCAAAAGAGAAAATTTTTTACAAAATTCTAAATTAAAATATTATAATAGTATCTCAATACTAAAATAACACTGGAACTGGCTGCTAAAACTAAGTGTGTGGGGTTTTTTTGTGTGTGTTTTTTTTATTGTGTTGCCTCAGATCCTCCAAAAGACAATGGTGGTTCAGATGTGGCGAAGTATGTGGCGGAGCTGTCTGAAGGGTTAAGTGGTACGTTCCAATTAGGTTTTCTGGTGTGTCTACAGATGCTCAATTTGATCTCGCCAGTATGATGATTATTTATTAATTGCTTGTGTGTGTGTGTGCGTGTGCGTGTTTCAGGTTCTTCTTGGAATCAGGTGTACAACGGTTCAGCTATGGAGTGTGTTTGTGGTGGTCTGAGCCCAGGATGTTCATACCAGGCTAGAGTCCACTGCATCAGTGCAGGAGGCGAGAGCCAGGTATGTCTCACAAAAACATGCAATGCTTATTGCTTTAGGGCCAAGTTAAACCTTAATTTTAAATATTTATCCTCATTTTACTGTACAAAAAATATTTCCCAATCAAATGCTCTCTAGAATGAGAATGTCCCAGCCTTTAATACCACCTGCATCACTGAGCTGTATAGTAAACCGCAAGTTGACTAGTAGTAATGTGCAAATCATAGTTTATTATGGCACTTTTCCACTGCGCGGATCCAGCGAGAGCTTGATGGGGCGACGCGGAATGAAAACGTTTTTCAGGAGTCGCGGCAATAGAGGCGGCGCAACTATAACGACATGTGAATAATCCCGCCCACTCTAAAGCGATACTAAACTGCAGTGGAAACGCAAACCGAGCTGTGCCGTGCCGTGCCGTACTGTACTGAGCCGTGCCGAGCCGAGTTGTACCACGCAGTGGAAAAGTGCCATTAGTGTGACGTAAGCTAAATGCCACCCCACCCACCCAAAAAAAAAAAAAAATCTTATTTCAATATTAAATTTGTCAGTACAGGAAAGAAAATCGAGTTTAAGGACTCCCTTTTGTACACTTTAAAAAATATAATTTAAAAGAATATACTTAAGTGTGAACTGTCACAATGCATCCCCAAGAAATCATGTAAAAAAAAAGTTGTTTTTAACGATGGGAACTTTAACTAACAATGTTCAACTACTAACGATCTTCACTATTCTCTCTGTGGTGGAAATAACATTTTAAACTTTTTTCAGACAAAAATGTCAGACTCCTTTGTCTTGCTAAGGCTAATTTTATAGCCAACATTTTAAGCACTCTAAATACAATTAACATTTTTGCTTATTTTGCATCTTTGGTGTAAACATTTGTCACCTTTTTTTCCTTAGCTCCACAACTTTATCGTTAAAGGTGGGGTAAGTGATTTCTGGTAGCCAATGTTGATATTTCAAATCACCAAAACAAACGCGCCCTTACCCCAAAAGGGTCTCGCCCCTATTTTGATAGCTCCGCCCCACACATGTACGCAACACAGGCAACGAATAGTTCTGTGAAACAAAGCAAAACCAATGTTATACGGTGTCTACACCGGACGCGAGCGGCGCGACAAAATACTATAGAACTCATTTTAATCAGTGATGCTGTCTACACTGGATGCGGCGCGACACGACAAATCCCCGACAGAAAACTGCTGCTGCGTTCTATTTGACAAATTGACACAAATTTCAAATGGTTTTCAACGGTCGCTTTGCTGCGTCTAATGTAGACAGACTTTAGCTGTTGCGGCGCGGCGCGACAAATGTCGCATCCGGTGTAGACACGGTGTTACTCACCTATCGAGAAGTAGTCTCGTGTAGCCAGACCTTCAGACTGACGGCTGAAGGTCTGGAATCCATGGCAGCTTTCATTGGCCAAGGCACGTGAGGCCGTTTGACCGACATGTTCGACCAAGTTCGTTTCGTTCATTGTCACGTTTCGGGGCGTGGAAATGTCGCCACAATAACAGACCGGTGTGTAAAACTCTCGGACATATTTGAAAGATTCTATGCAGCAAACTTTTAATTTTTTCACATACTTTTGAAAATCCAGCATTCAGTTGATGCTGATAAGCACTCATCGTCACAGTTGTAAACACGACGGCTTTCTTCTTTCGTGAGGAAGGCGCAGACACGGTGTTTTACTCACCTATCGAGAAGAAACAAAGCAACCTCGGTGTCCGATCGCAGGCCTTCCCGCTCCTCGAGTTATCTCCAGCGCTGGAAAGCTGATCTGATATTTACACTGGTCCTACTTGTTGCCTTATCATAAGCCTTCTTTTGTTCCGCAGACATTTTCCTCTTTTGTTTTTTATCCGCCATCTCTATCTTTCTGTCGTCGCGCCGCTCGGCTAATGTCCGTCCTGTGCACTGAGTGCTCTCTCATCCCCATCATGAGTAGACACACCCCTTACTACTGATTGGCTACAAGTTTGTTTTGGGTATCAGCCCGACTCAGTTTTCTAAAGCGTTTTTGAAAAAATACATACCCCACCTTTAATTTTATCGTTACTTTAATCCACCTTCCTTTTATCGGTTTGTTTCCACACAAATTGCTTACTTGTTTCCCCTCTTCATCATCTCCACGCCAATCGCAACATGCTTTTATCAATGGGGCACTTTTGAAAAGCGGTTGGTAATAATTTCTCTCTTCCGTTTTCTGATCCCAGCTGTAATGGCATTGTCGGGGCTTCGCAGATGCATATCTGCATCCTGGACTTGCCAGCACGCTGATAATGACTCATGTTGGCTCTGGTTTTCACAGCCGTGAATGTGAGAGAATGCTCACGTGGCTGTGGTCTGCTGTCACCGTTTCATCCGGTGCCTACACACTATTCTCATTGAGGAGGTGGAACGTGGTGTGCGCGATTAAAGTGTATCAAGACTTTCTAGTTTTTCTAATTTCTCATCCTATTTGTTTTTAGTTGACGGAGCCCTTGCAGGTCCAAACACCACCTGTTCCTCCTGGTCCATGTCAGCCGCCCAGGGTCGTAGGCAAACCCAAAGCGAGAGAGGTGCGGCTACGCTGGGGTAAGCGTTGCCTTTGTGTGTGTGTGTGTGTGTGTGTGTGCTTATTGTGTATAACGAATTAAGTATTTCTTAAAAGCATGTCATGTTTAGTATGTATTTAGGGTTAATTGGGGGTTGAAGGGTATATATACACAATCGTATAAAAGTTTGGGGTCATTCATTCAGATTTTTTTTGTCTTATCTTACCAAGGCTACTTTCATTTGATAAAAAATATAGTAAAAACAGTAATAATGTGAAATATTATTACAATTTAAAATAACTTGAGTTTGAATATGTTTTAAAATGTAATTTAATCCTGTGATGGCAAAGCTGAATTATCAGCAGATGATCCTTCAGAAATCATTGTAATATTCTGATTTGCTGCTCAAGAAACATTTCTTATTATTATCAATATTGAAAATGGTTGTGCTGCTTAATATTTTTGTGGAAATGATACATACTTTTATTAGGATGTTTATTTTTTCAGAAAGTTACTTTTGATCATTTTAAAGTGTCCTTGCTGAATAAAAGTGTTAATTTTCTTTTTTTTTTCTCTCTCATTGCATCTGTTAGCGCCCCCTCTGGTGGATGGAGGTAGTGCAGTGTCTTCGTACAGCGTAGAAATGTTCGCCCCCCAGGTGGACGAGGGCTGGGAAGTGTACCAGGGCTCTGAACTGGACTGCACAGTGGGAAGTTTACTGCCCGGCAGGACCTACGGCTTCCGGCTCAGAGCTGCCAATAAAGCTGGGGTGAGTGTAAGCTTTACAAATGTCACTGATATTATTTGTTTTTATAGTTGCTAATAATCTGTTCTTTTCAAAGAATGTGCCACATATAGTTGACTAACAAATTGTTTTATATTTTATTGGTGTTCAACAGTACGGCCCTTTTTCGGAGCATCTACATTGTGACTGAACTTACCGAACCCCAAACAAAAGGTGCGTTAGACTTAAAGCGGCGCTGCGGGTGTATGATATCAAAGCACTCATTAACTGATCGGTCTGCTCAGCACCGCTTTAAGTCGAACACACCTAATGCCGTCTGCTGGACTAAGTGCACTCATTCTTGCGTGTACATATCATTTTATTTTCACCACCTGCAAACTCACAAGGAGCTCATAAAAGGCACTTTCCCTCATCGTTGCTCCACGTTTGCCCTCTGCTCATTTTGTTTTGTTTACACCGCGTCGTCAAATCATGTCACATAGCGTCGCATCTTGTCATTACTTCCTGTTTTTGGTCCGTGTTGCGTTCATATTTCATTCGAACCGCACCAGAGTTCGTTTGGAAGCGGGCCGAGACCCATCTTTTTAGCGGTCACTGTACACTTGTTTGGTTCGCACCAGGGTTCGGAAGGCAGCGTTCATGCTTACTCAAACGAACCGCACTAACAGAGCAATCGCATCAGAGTTCGTTTTAATCGAACCGAACATGACAAGTGTGAACACACCCTTAGTGAATTACTTCATTGTGAGTGAATTAGGGTTATTATTAACTAAAACCATATAAAAAAACTAAACCTATAAAAAACAAATTAAAATATTACTTAAAATAAACATTTACTGAAAATAAATTAAAATAAATATAAAATAATGAAAAAAAATAATACAATTTTAAAAAATCAGAACTGAAATTGAAACTAAAAATGAAAAAACTAAGACAAATTACTAAAACTTTACAATTAAAATGTTTGCTTTGTTTATTTGTTTTGCTTCTTGTTTTGTCTTTCACATTTGATGTGTTCTGCATCCATGCAGGCCCCTCCCTGTAACGGAGCGGCAGTGTCAGAGTATCGCCTGGAGTGGGGGGCGGCAGAGGGCAGTATGCAGATGTGTTACACCGGTGCTGCACTGTCCCATGAGATGAGGGGTCTGCTGCCAGCCACCAACTACTTCTGCAGAGTACAGGTGAGAAACGCTCTCATACACACTTTTTCATCTGAATGTTTGAGCTGTTGGTGAGACTGGTTCTGCCATGTGAAACTAACCAGGAAATAGCTGTCTGCTGACTGATTATGCTTTTACTTCCTGTGAGCACAAATATATCAGCTTGTGTCATTCAAATGAGATATTGGGAAGAGTGCCAACTTTACATTGTCAGTGCCACCCAGTGGCTGAGAGAGACAAATGCTTTTTTTTTTTTTTTTAACAATAGGTGTTTATTACTATATTGAGGGCTGTTATGCACTAATTGCTCGCTGAAATTTTGTTCAATTAAATTATTTTGGTACAATTTGTAATTGTAATCAAATATGTTCCATCCCTGAATGTTTCTGGTGGGACAATTAGCAGATTTACAAAAGCAAAACGATTCAAATTCACTTTTCTTAGGAACTGAATTTAAACTAAAATAATGTTGTCAATTATTAAATTCTGTGATTGGTGCTTTATATTTTTATTGTCCACTTTCTTTGTGCATTTCTACACTAGTCTAGTCCATTGTTTTACTTTTGTATTTGTTTTTGTTGTTTTTTGTGAAGAGTTATCATTATTGTTGGTCCTGTATTTTTATAGTCTTGATGATTCCTCTGCTTGTTCAGCTAGAATCAACCACACGATAGTTAAAGATTAAAGCTTTATTTGCTGTTCACGTCAGGCCTGTTTGAAATTTTAGTCTCTCACTGACTGTGTGTGTTTTGTGCCTCAGGCAGTGAATGTGGCCGGTGTGGGGCCCTTTAGCGACGCTGTGCTCTGCCAGACACCCTGCTCTGTGCCAGCGCCAGTCAGCAGCGTCCACACTCTCCGCGAGTCAGAGATGAGAGTGGAGGGCAGCTGGACCACAGAGAGGGGCGAGGACGAGGAGGACGAAGAGGCCAGACCTCTCCTTTACTCTTCATCCACCTGCCTGGGGCTACGCTGGGAGGCACCGTGTGATCACGGATCAGAGATCATGTCATACCTGATCGATCTGGGTGAAAGACAACCCATCCTTACTGGGCCCGTAACCAAATACATCATCCAGAACCTGCACCCCGACACCACCTACAGGTACAATGACATCTCTGTTATAGAACAGTAGCAAAAGTAAACATACAGCGTGACCAGTGTAGTCCATTTCATGAACGTATGGCTCTTATGAACCTTATGAACTGACTTTTATAATTCCAAAAATGAGCATGGATCTGAAAGGAATGAATGTGTATGAACGAAAACTGAATCTTGTGCTTGTGTGTTTGAAGGATAAGGATCCAGGCTCTGAATAGTCTGGGAGCAGGACCCTTTAGTCACACCTTTAAACTGAAGACCAAGCCACTGCCACCCCTCCCTCCACGTCTGGAGTGCACCGCTTCCAGTCACCAGACCCTCAGGCTCAAGTGGGGTGATGGCCCGGCCAAGGCCCAACCCACTGATTCCCTACAGTACCATCTCCAAATGGAGGATAAAAATGGGAGGTTTGTGGATGCATTTTTTTGTGCTTTGCAGTATATTTTAAAACTGTGTCCTAACCAGGCATGACAGAAGATTCAAGTCATTTTCTCTGAAAGCGAAATGCTAAGATTAGCCAGATACACAAATATATACCGTTCAAAAGTTTGTAGTCGGTAAGTTTTTTTTTTTTAGGAATTAATACTTTTGTTAGGCAAAGATGCATTAAACTGATCAAAAGTGACTTTTAAGCAAACACTTGTAATGTTACGTAAGATTTATATATATATATATTTTTTAATTGTTTTCTGAACTTTCTATTTATCAAAGAAACCTGAATAGTGGTTTCCACAAAACTATTAAGCAGCACAACTGTTTTAAACATTTATAATAATAATAAATGTTTCTTGAGCAGCGACACTGAAGTCTGGAGTCTTGCTGCTGAAACTTCAGCTTTGCAATCACTGGAATAAATTACATTTTAAATATATTAAAATAGAAATCAGTTATTTTAAATTGTAATACTATTTCATAATATTACTGTTTTTTTTAATCAAATAAATGCAGCCTTGGTGAGCACAAAAGACTTCTTTCAAAAACATTTAAAAAATCGTACCAATCCCAAACTTTTGAAAGATGGTATTGTACAAACCTGCAGTTTGCAAGGGATGTTCAACTTTATAAATGATTCAAATTAGAATTATTTTTACATTTTTATTTATTATCCATTCATCTGAAACTCGCTCAGATTTTGTGTGGGTCTGCCTTTAACTGTTATAAGTTTATCATATTGTGTATTTTGTGACTTTATAGAGGTCAACTCTATAACACTATCTCTGTCTCTGTTTTTGTCTCTTCCTAAAGGTTTATATCCTTGTATAAAGGACCCTGTCACACTCACAAAGTGCAGAGGCTAAATGAGTCTACCTCATACGCATTCCGCATCCAGGCCTTTAACGAGGCGGGCGAGGGGCCCTTCTCCACTGTTTACACCTTCACCACCCCCCGCTCCCCCCCTGCACCCCTAAAAGGTACAGCATCCCAACTGCAGCAGCCATACACTTGCCCCAAAAACTTCCATTGATTCATTTAGTTTGTTGAATTTTCAGTCTTCAGTGTCACATGATCCTTCAGAAATCAGTCCACTATGCTGATTTGCTTCAACATTTCTTCTTATTATCAATGATGAAAACAGTTGTGATGCTTAATATTTTTGTGGAAACCATGATATGTGTTTTTTCAGGATACTTTGATAGAAAGTTCAATAGATAGACAGCACATTATTTGAAATAGATTTTTTTATAAATGTCTGTCACTTTTGATCAATTTATTGCAAAAAAAAAAAGGCTTTGAATGGTAGCTTATGTATGATTTTAAATATAAATGATGTTTATACATCATGGAAGTATGGTAGTAAAATGCTAAAATGAAAACAGGCCTCATTTTTTACAAATAGAAATATATATTTTTGGTCTTTATTGTTTTTATTTATTTTAAACATATGCGCTTGAACTTATATTATAAGGGAGCTAATTTATGTGCATAAATAACAATAATTGTGCAGCTCTGTTTATTGGCATGTTACAGCTGATGTTACATTATTAATCAGTCTTACACTGAAATAATTAAAAAATGTATGCTCTTAGACAACAACATCCTAAAACACACATTTAATGTTCTGCAATTTGACCTTAAATATTTGTGCATGCAAGTTTAGTTCGGTTGTTCTCTTCATCTGTCTGTGTCTGTCTTCAGCTCCTCGTGTGGAGCGTGTGGACGAGTCGTGTGAGGTGAGCTGGGAGACACTGCCACCTATGAAGGGAGATCCAGTCATCTACTGTTTGCAAAGCATGCAGGGAAATTCTGAGTTCAAACAGGTACCTACATCACACTATATCATCTGCATGTATGAGTTTAAGTAGAAAACAGCTCACCAAACACCAAAAACGGTCAATTTTAACCTCAGTGAAGCATCTCAATTTAAAGATTTCAATTCACCGTGAGGCAAAAGTGTCTCAAATGTAGGTTCGCGCTTGTAAGCTCATTACACCGAGGTCACGGCTCTCAGCAGGTGCGCTCAGCAGACAGCAGGTGTTTGGATGAATATTATTATAGCATAATGGCGATCCAGTGGTCATTACTTGAACGGCTTAGTGACAGTTGTTACACTTAATGTTAGAGCCAAATCAAATCTATCCTCTCACATTTGTGCTGTGATTGTGCATGCTCTTTATTCTGACATCATGTTGTGACACAATGGCCTTCGTAACCTATGTTTATCAAGACCTCCATAAATTTTAAGAAGCACCCAAGCACAAAATAAAATAAGAAGGGTTGGTGCTTAAAATGGAAATACTCATAAACTCATTATATATTCATACCCATATGTTGTTCCAAACCCGTCTTCTGAGGTCATATGATAGCTTTGTTTGAGAAACAAATACAATACAAATACAAATATCAGTTGCGCTGAATTTAAAACATTTAGACGTGTTATGATTGATTGTGAAGTGCATTGGGACCTTTTGCATTGAGAGCACACATGTCAAACTTGCCACACACTTAGGTAACACTGTATTTTGCTGTTACATGTTACTGTCCTTGTTAAATAGCCAGAAACTCACTGCACCTTGAAAAAGTCCAAAATGAGGTGCGGAGACTGAAAAATCCAAATAGACAAACATTCAAAAAGAAGCCTGCACGCTCAAATTAAGAATAAGAAACTTTCAATGTAAGATGAAAACCACTACTATAATGAAAAAGCAGCAAACGTTTCGGTCACGTGACACTTCGCAGTGCCTGGTTACAATACTTAGTGCAGGAGCCTTGTTACATGTTCCTACCGCTGTAGAAGACTACATGTGGAGTAAATTATGCATAATTATACGCAACTAACCCAAAACCAAACCCTAACCCTAACCCTGTAGTAAGTATATGTAGTTAATTAATATATTTGTTTGTATAACCATACTGTAACAATGTTACCTTAAACTAAAGTGTAACCCAAACATGTGACACCATATTTAAATGCATAATGTACAAAAACAGATGAGATTTGATTACTTATTTTTATTTATTTATTTATTGGGTCTTGCTTCAGAAGACTTTGAATGCTACTTTTATGGTACTTTTTTTTTTTTTTTAACTACTTGTACATTCTGCAAAACATCTCCTGTTCTCATCACAAAAAAACTCACTAATATGGATTTGGAAAGACATGAGGAATAAACAATGACAGAACTGTGACAGAAATTTAATTTTGAACGTGGGTCCTAAGGGGCCCACTGGAGAGCCGGGTAAAAACATCACCCAGCTGTCTGTAGTTGCAGTGTTGAATTCCTAATAGTGATTGTCACTAAATATAATATCGCTGCACTGTATTGTCAGACGGGACCCGGTAGAACTGTTTGATTTAACTTAAAACCACTCTACTGTGAGCACCTCCGTGGGCTGCCTCTGAGTGACTGTAGATATGAGGGTAATGGAAGAGTAAAGCAGTCTCACTGGCTCTGATTCATCACCCCCTGCTGAGAGACGCTGTAGGAGACTGCAGGCATGATGGGAGGCTTGTGTATTTGTGTTGATGCAGCCCACACACACGTGCGGGACTTCGTATTCATATTCTCATGTTCTTCGGACATATTATTTCTTTGCTTAAACATTTGCATCCTTAAAATAGTCTTCATCAGGTCCTTCCTTTTTAGTATAGTATCTCTATGAAATTAATGCAATGCTAAATATTATTCTATACAAATTATGTTTATCTATTCAAAAACTAGCAAATTTTAGGTCTAAGCAAACTATGATTGTTTTTCATTTGAATTGTGCCCAAAATGTGCAAAACAATATTTCTATTATATACACTATTAAATTAATCCATTGACAGTATGACAGTGAAATAGACATTTACGTTGTTCCAAAAAAATATATTTTTAAAAAATGCTGTTTTTTTTTCTGTTCATTAGACAATTAAAAAAAAAAAAAAGGTTTCATGGTTTCCACAAAAAGTAGCACAACTGTTTTCTACATTGATAATAATAAGAAATGTTTCTTGAGCACCAAATCAGCATATTAGAATGATTTCTAAAGCATCATGTGACACTGAAGTAATGGCTCCTGGAAACTCAGCTTTGGATTACAGGAATAAATTACATTTTGAACCTTCATTTAAAAACTGCATGTTGTGTTTACTTGTGTTATCTTTGACTAATATTTAAATTTGTTTGATGATCTGAAACATTAAAGTGTGACAAACATGCAAAAAAATAAGAAATCAGGAAGGGGGCCAACACTTTTTCACACCACTGTATATATAAAAAAAATGTTTTAATTATAATATTTCTGTATTTATGATCAAATAAATGCAGCCTTGGTGACCACAAGAGACTACTTTTTTTAAAAACAAAAAAATCCTGCTCCAAACAATAGTGCATATTTATATAATACTGCAATATATTTGTGTTTAGTTTTTAATTAAATATTTAATTGTCGTCTCTAATCCTTTCAGATCTACAAGGGCTCAGCCACTTCCTATCAGCTCCCAAACCTGAGCTCGTTCACGGAGTACCGATTTCGCGTCTGCGCCATCCGGCAGTGCCAGGATGCCCCCGAAATCATCGGGCCCTACAGCTCCACTGTCATCCTGCTCCCACCTCGTGTCGACACCCCCGGGGTCTCTGGTGCCACGGGGTCCAAAGCAGCCGAGGCCCAGAAGCCAAACCGCAGCCTGACAGACGAACAGTTTTCTTTTCTCATCATCGCCCTCTTGGCCGTGACCTCCATCCTCATCGCGGTCGCCATCCAGTACTTCGTGATCGAATGAGCCTCGGCCCCGCATTACATCGTCAAAACAAGTTTTTGTTTGTTGATGTTTGTTTTTCTTGCTTTATTTTTCGTTCCGGCACCAGCGTCGAGGAGGGAAGGATTGAGAAAAGGAAGTTGTAGAATCACTTCACCCAATCTATTGTTCTATCTTTCCGCTACCCGCTGTCCCTTCCGCGCATGCTGTCGAAAGAACGCCATTCCCTCTGTCGGACTCAGAGGGCGATTTATTGAAGGATCAGCAATGAAGCTTACCGCTCGTCGCATACTTATCTCGTACCACTTCATTTATTTGTGTAGCTGTAGTCTTTGTTATTTATACGTATAATTTCAGTTGTAAACTGTTGAGTGTAAGTTTCGTTCAAAGCTAGCTCGGTGGTTGCGTCGCTCACCGGTTTGCTATCTTGGGCCTGGGACTTGAGGGCCAGTGACTACGCCGTCGACGAGGGGGTACGGGCGAGCAGAAGTCCCGCCGGGGGATCTGAGCGAAGTCTACGAGTCCACAACTTAAAAAAGGCGAGGCGAGACTGATACCACTCAAATTGGCGAACGTTGATTTAGCACTTTCCTCAGAACTTTTTTGATGTTCAGAATGTGTAAAGGATGCAAAAATAACTAGAGAAATGCTATTATATTTTTGTACAGTATGATACAAGGACCTGAGATTCTGGCTTAGTACGGGGGAGTAAGACTATGACTATGAATACCAAACTAACTCAGCTTAATAGTTATTTTTACTATCATGTACGTATACTGTAGCTTGTTTTTACAATCAAGCAGCTGCTTTGCTCCAAAATATTGTCGTTCAGCACAATGTATGCTTCTCGGAAACCTTTCCTTCAGTCGTTACCTTTGCACCTTAGTGAGAAGAGAAAAAAACAAACTTATCGAATGCGTCTTGATTTTGTGATGCGTTTTATGGGACATGTTCTCCAGTTGTGCAAAAGCCCTCAATGTGTTTTGGCTGTTTTTAAAAATGTAGTACCACGAAATTTGTTCTTGAAATGGTTTATTCAGTCAATAATCATGATTTCCAAAAGTCATATTATTTTTCTTAATTTCTCTATTGTTATTATAATTTTTTTTGTTTTAGAAACCAAATTATCACATTGTGTTAACCTTTACTTTTAGCAATATTACTTTTTGATGTAATCTTGAGAGTACTGAATACAGGACTAAATATTAATTTTCAGATATCTTTTTTCTTGTTTAAATCACACATTTAAACTTTATTTTTATATGGAAATAAAACCTTTAAGTTAACTCTGTCCAGCAGAGAAATTAAGAAAAGTGCAAGAAATGAAATGCAAACAGCAGTAATGACTTGTGTTAATCCTACATGTACTTCCTGTGAATCGAAATTTTTGCCTTTTTCTCTGTGTGTTAAAGTCTTGTGACTGTCAGCGCTGTGACAGCAGCATGATGGTCTGGTCGTAGGGTTTTGTGTCGTGCTTTGGTTATGGGCATATGAGTGCTGTCAACAACTGTTAACAACTACAAGTAACTTGCAAGAAGTCTTGGATGAAAATGAATTACATGATTTGGTCTAATAGATATACTGCAGATGTCTTCTGTTTGTCATAGAAGGGGGAAAAAAACTCAAATTCCTATTTTTGATAGTGATAAAATGTAATTTGCGAAGTGTGCCGTCTCCCCACCATGGTAGGTGTTTGGTTCTTGGGAGAAAGAAAAGCTACAAAAAAATCAATAAAATATGCACAAAAAAAGAGACCATTTTTATGTAATTTTAATGTTTGCAGTTACCTCATACACCGTACATTCCAAAACAAAAATTTGTTATAGTATACATACTATCAGACATATCACTTTAAAATGTTCGTTATCAGATAGGAAATGTATAATCATATATATGTATCTAAAGTATGTCTGTATAGTTATGATATCTACAGACGGATCCATGCACAATAAAAGATTTATAATTCTTAATTGTCGTCTTTTACTGCATGTTGCCATATATGTAGATTCATATCACTATGCTAATGTTTTGTAAAAAAAACAAAAAAAAAACAGTATATGAATATATTTTTCAGTCAAGAATTATTGGTTTATTGGTTTTTAATTTAAATTTCTACCCCGGAAGAAAATCTAATTAATATAATAATTCCTAAGACGTTTTTTTTTTTTTTCAATGAAACTGGTTTTTCAGTGAAACTGGTAAAAACATAATTTTCAGATTTTGTGCTGATAGTAAGAGATCCAGACTTCCTGACTAGACTGTGTACTAACCAAAAGCTCATTCCTCCTGCCTGGTTCAATTTCATCCACAAAGAGCGAGCCACTCCAGACAGATTGTCTATTAAATTAGATTATTCTTCAGCACCTGAATCAAGTGTTAAAGCATATTACAAAGACATTAAGATGATCTAAATGAATGTTTCAAAACAGATCTGAAGTGAACACAATGCACCTGCCACACCAGGAGCTTCTTTGTGCATCAACATACAGTTTGAATTAAGATTGTGTTAGACATTGCCAATGTTAATATTAATTAACTGTTTGTAAGAAGAAAGAAAAACACAGTTAGGTCATACCTTCTATTCAGTATATCTTTTGAACTGAAAGAAAAAAAAAACATGCTTGTTGAAATTTAAGTATTTCTATAAAAGGGTACATTAGACTTTTTGAGAGATGCTTGGGTCACAGCTCTCATGTTTCTTCATTAATTAGGTTTTCATTTTAGATGTTGATTTGACAAAATGACATCTTAGCCAAATTAGTGAAATTACTAAAAATAAATATTTGAAAAAATATTAAATATAATTTATTACAAATCTTTAATATTATTTAGATACGATTATATAGCTTATATATTAGCTTTAGTAATTCTGTTTGTTTTTTGACGTGTCTATATATAGGTTTAAAGTTTTTTTTTATATTTTATTTTATTTCAAGTAACGGTTTCCTATGTTTTAGTTAAACTGTAATAGCCATGCTTTATGCTTTCTTAATTATAATTCTAAGAGAATTCCTAATATGATTTTGATCTAAAGATTGCAAGTTATTTAATTGGATAAAATGTAATAAATACTGATATGCAAATAATGTAATTCATATTAGTAGACAGTCAAGGATCAAGAGCTGTTCATTTAAATGCACACATTGAAAGCCAAAGCCCCACCTCTCACCTCTATCCCTATCTGTCTACTGTCTCCACCTCTTGTGATCTCACTATTTAATTAAGAACGGGACTAAGTGATATTCTGCACGCACACCGTCGGGTAGAGGTGATGCTCTCATCTCCTGCAGCAGAGCACCAGATACAACGTCCACAGGTCTCGTCTTTTTCATCTCCTGTTCAAACGCACCACCTCTTTGGTTCCACCTTCCCTGATGCTGAAACGGACTTTCAGCGAAGGAGTCACATTAGAGTTCTTCTTTCTCAACCTCTTTTAAAGGTCTTTTGTACACTTACCACAATCTCTTAGACCTTATCAAGAGGCACCTGCAGACTTGCATCAATATGGAGGACCACCATTGCGGAGACTCTCTCTTCCCATCCTCCACCCTCATTCCTGTCACCACCATTTGCATCCTGCTCTTCATCATCGGGATAACCGGCAACACCATGACCATCCTCATTATCAACCGCTTCAAGGACATGAAGACCACCACCAACCTGTATCTCTCCAGCATGGCCATCTCAGACCTGGTCATCTTCCTCAGCCTCCCCTTCGACCTCTACCGCCTCTGGAAGTACGTACCCTGGGTCTTTGGGGAGCTGGTGTGCCGTCTATCACACTACATCAATGAAGGATGCACCAATGCCACCATTCTTCACATCACAGTGCTCAGCATGGAGCGTTACCTGGCCATCTGCTTCCCTTTCAAAGCCAAGGCTGCCATCACCAAGAGAAGGGTCAAGTATGTCATTCTGGCTCTGTGGGGCTTCGCCCTTCTGTCTGCTGCACCAGTGTTCTTCCTGATGGGCGTGGAGTACGAGAACGAGACTATGCCTGACCCGGCCACTCGGCAGTGCAAGCACACACGCTATGCCATCGAATCGGGGCTGCTGCACACCACTATCTGGGTGTCGACCGCCTACTTCTTCTGCCCCATGTTTTGCCTGCTCTTTCTGTATGGATCCATCGGTCGAAAGTTGTGGAAGAGTCGTCATGAGCTTCATGGGCCCAATGCAGCAGCCAGACAGAAGGTTAACAGGCAAACCGTCAAGATTCTGGGTGAGTGGGTCTTGGGAAGTGTTAAGGCTGGAATACACTACGTGACTTTTAACATCAGAACAGATTTTGAAACACTAGGCATCATATATTTGCAGACTTTGAATATGGTTACAGTGAAAAACTGGGCATCATACACTAAACCAGGGGTGTCCAGTCCTGTTCCTGGAGGGCCACTGTCCTGCAAAGTTTAGCTGCAACCCCAATTAAACAAACCTGAACAAGCTAATCAAGGTCTTACCAGGCACAATAAAAACTTCCGGGCTGGTGAGTTGAGGACAGTGGCCCTCCAGGACCGAGTTTAGACACCCCTGCACTAAACTAATGAGAATCACACAAAAGACTTTCAAGTCGTTCTAAACGCATAAAACGTGAGCAGAAACATAAACGTTGTTGCTAGGAAGCAGCATGACAATTGAAAACAACATGTTCTAACATCGGCTCAAAATATCAGATATGTTTAAAATCCTTCGACTGAATGGAATCTGAGTTTGAAGCTAAAAAAAAGAGTCTGTGCCCCTCATACACTACGCGATTTTCTGTGAAATCTGTCAACTCCAACCGCCCAAAATCTGGCAGACTGTCTCAGACTTTAGGCAACTAACATCGACTCATCCAGAATGCAAATCAGAGTAAAAATCTAAGCTTAAGTCATGTAGTATATTTCAGCCTTTAGGTAACGGCCATAGACAGTTGTGTTACAGTTTCGAGATCTGGACAAGCCCCTAATGCCAAGTATCAAATCTTGTAGTGTAAACCGTCATGGAATGCTTGTGCTCGAAAAGACGTTGTGACAAGAAAGAGTCTCAAATCTCTAATCATGAGAGATTTGTGCGATTTTGTGATCTAGTGTGATTACTTCAGTTCATGCTAACGATTTTTCTCTGGCTGATCATTAAACGGGTGAAAAAGATTAAAACCATATAACTTAAACTGAAGAAGAGACCCGAGCAATTTTTAGAGATTAGAATGTCATCAGGCTTAAAGGTAGTCTCTTTTTACTTTAAGTGAGCATCCACAACACCCCTAGCCAATGTTGCAATGCTAAAAGCATATAGCACATTTTAACAATGCTGTAGTCAAGACCAGCTCATCCGATACTGAGTCCAGGCCAAGACCTGAGTTTGTTGAGTCAAACTTAAGCCGAGACCTGAAGAGGGTCTATATCATTTTGAAAGTACAAGTATTCTTTCCTTTGGCATGAATGAAGGCTAGTTTTACATCGTCACTTAAACCTCTGCAGCGCACACCAGTGTGTTCCAGTCTAGAGACACAATAACACAAAGCAGATCATATGTGTGAGTCGGCACAGACCACAAAACATATTAAAATATGGTCTTGGACTCGAAACAGACTTGAGTCCAATACGGCACCCTAGCCTCAAGGTGGCCTGCAAGAGGATAGCTATAACTCTTTAAGTTATAAATGTTTGCACTGTTCATCTCAAACTTTGATATGCTATCCAATGTCTATATGTTACAAATTAAAGTTGTTTTGAAATCTACAACTTATTACAAATAATGTTAAGCGCAAAGAGTGTTGTTGTTACGATCTACCCCACTACCAATGTGAACTGTAGCAATCATGTAACTCCATTTCTACTTCTAACTATTGAATAAATACATAAAGGCCCGGTTCCATAGACAGGGCTTAGCCTAAACCAGGATTAAGCCATAGTTCAATTAGGACATTTAAGTAAT